TATCTCATATAGATAGCTAAGTCATAATTATGAGATAGTATCTCATAATTATGAGGTAGTATCTCATAATTATGACTTAGCTATCTCATAATTATGACTTCGCTATCTCATATAGATAGCTAAGTCATAATTATGAGATAGTATCTCATAATTATGAGGTAGTATCTCATATTATGAGATAGCTAAGTCATAATTATGAGAAACAAGTTTTATTTATTTTTTATCAGGGTGGCGGAAATGGGCTTCCATAGTTTTTAACCTAAATCAATGTTGTTGTTTTTTTGGAAATGTCTTTTCTTTAAGTTTTCATGGTTTTTTTTCTGTTTCCACTGTTATATAATTGACAGATAATCCAAACATGTAAGTTAAACAACTCAATGTGTGTTTATTTACTGATTGTTTAGTATAAACTGTTATATGATTGACAGATAATATCTATGTAATATAATCAACTCAAAAAACTGAAAAAGTGAGAAACTTACAAACAGGGGAACTAAGTTTGATGCCAAACAAAACACAAATAGATTACTCTGCACAAGAGGAAAAAGTAAATGTTAAAATAAATAATAAGGATCATAAAATAAAATCTTATTTTTCGAAGATTTCTCCGTTATGCAGTTGTGTTTTTAAAGTTAGGACGATTATTTATTTCCAACCTGACAAGCGTGGTGCTATTATTTTGAAAAACCTTTATTTCTGTTTTCTGAGTTTGTTTGGCTGTGAGTGTCCAGTTTGTGGTTCATGACACATTCCTTCCARCAACTTTTGAAGGACTTCACCAGGACAGAAACTCCTGATCAGAAACAACCAGTAAACTTTAAAATAATCCAACAAAACAATGTTTGTGCTTTGAAACAAACTCCAAGCAGAATATTGAACCAATTAAAACACTAAATAGCAGATATCTTTAGTAGTGAGTGTTTACCTTGTAGTGCAGCAATTTTTTTAAACAAAGAGTGAATTTCTGCCCTTTTTTTCTTGGTTGTGCTCATTCTCTGAACATATATAAATTAATGCTCTTTTGAAACTTCCAGTAAAAAAAAAAACAGTATTTTACACAGTTCAAGTGTACACATTCAGATGTTTTAAAACGGTTTACAYAGCACAGGGTTTCACAGAAGAGCCAACCTGTTTAATGGTCCAGGTCAACCGGTTTGTTTTTAGTCTTTTGTGGAGAGATGGATGACTCATTTGTTTTGATGGTCTCCACCAGTCTGCAGGGTCAACAACAGAGAAAAAAAGCAGTTCATCATATTGTGGAAAAACCAGAACTCCACCATGATTTGGCACATATCTGCAGCAGTCCTAAAAGTCACATACATGACTTTATTTTATTTTGTTTTTATTTATTTCTTTTTAATGAAGCTTGTCCTAACATGTTTAACTATTAATATAATAGTCATACCTCAGTCGGTCTTCCAGACATTAATCTAAAATTTGCAAATAAGCTGGGCGGTCCTTCTTCGCTCAGCTCTCTCCTGCACAGCATTACCACCTTATTTGCTTAATGAGGCAGAAATGCATAAGGAAATGTAAATACAGGAGGCAGAGAAATGTACAAACAACATGTGGAAATAAAATGACTTGTGGGAAAAATTATAAACAATAATTAAATATAATCTTTTAAGAGACACAATGTATTTACAAGTAAAAGGAAAAACATGGACCTGTCCAGGGTGCACCCGCCCCTCACAGTGACTGCTGCTGGGCACCAGTGACCCCCGTGACCCTGAAAGGAAGAAGTATGTATAAATAATGGATGGATGGATGGATGGATGGATGGATGGATGGATGGATGGATGGATGGATGGATATTGAGCTAAAATCTGGTCTGATTGTACTTGAGAGTCATTCAAACATATACTCTAAAAATGACATGCTGTTATATCAATTTTGTTTTAGTTTCTGTGTAAGTAATACATGTAATAGGATCTACCTATGCATGTATTAAAATTTACTTCTTCTTTCTGAAATTAATATTATTTCTTTTCTTTTGGCTCTGATTTTTTTTAATTCAGAACAAAATTGTACTAAAATATAAACTTTTGTTGCGTGTATTCATTTTTTTAAACAAATGTGATTCGACCAGGTACTATCTTTATGACGATTTTTGAACAAAAAAAATGTTTTAACTGCGACAAACTAAATAAAATAAAGTGTACTTTTATTTCTGGCCGCTAGAAGCCGCTGCAGCTCCGCCACTAGCCTAGAGCAGAGTGACAGCTCAGGAATGAATTGAAACTGTTTCTCTGCGGTGGTTAAAACCAGGCGGAACCGAAGTCATGCAGCTTCATGTTGCGGTTAACAGATGCAAACTAGTCGCTGTGTTTTTCCTTTGGGTCGGTAAGTTGAGCGAATACATCAGCACCAGCACAGTCGGTGTTAGCTTACCCGCTAAACAAAGCGGAAGGGAAAAAAACAACAAAGCGGAAGACATTGCTGACGGACGAGCGGAAGTTGTATTTATTCACCCTTCAAAATAGTAGTAACTATAAACTAAGCTTTGGATAGATTACTGAATACCTTGTTTGGTTGTGCTTTAAAATAACTRATTTCAGCTGTTTAGTATAAATTTAAGATATTTAATAGAACCATGGAAATAGCTATCGATTTATAGGGTTCTCCAAAATAGTCCTCTTTTATTTTGAAAAATATTCAAAAGGATTTATTAGTGGTTGAAAACTTGACCCATTCTTGTTAGTAATTTATTTTTCAGATTTGCTTATAAATACCAAAACATGAGTTTTAATTTTCAAAAGAAAATTTWAAAATAAGGCTTGTGTCTTTTTATTTATTAACTCTTTGAGTTAAATCTGTTTTCCCCTACAAGTCTAAACAGTGCTACATAATAAAAATATTAATTTGCAGTTATAACAATTGGATTAAATGTGATTAAATTAATTAAATTGAATTAAATTGTGAATGTGTGGGAGAAATATTTTGGGTAYATGTTTTCTTTTTAAACCTTTAGCCAAGTATCTTGGGAACTGCTGGTGGATCAGAATCACTCTTATTTCTCCCAGGTTGAAACTAAATGCTGATGGAAAATTATCTGTATCCTGTTTTACAGCTGCTGTTTGAACTTGTCAGAGCACAAGAAGCACAGGTGGAAGTAATAATAATATTAACAGCATCCTGTTCCATCATGTGTCTCTGTGGGCAGTTATAATAAACCAGCAGGCTCAGTAGTTCCAACGAAAGGACCTCATCTAAGTGGACTGCTGCCATCAGAAAGTGCTTTTTAATATCGCATGTCAAAACGTTGGCTCTAAAAAATACAGAGGTTCTTCTTATGATGTAATAAAATCACAAAGTATCTGTGTGCTGCTATAAACATTTACAGACTAGTAAATGTAAGTTATTTCAGAATAACTTTTCACTGACTTCAAAAGGTCCTGATTACAGAGTGGGTCTGGAGTTTTGCTAAAGTCAAAGTGTTGTAGTGCAGTACTACAATGAGTATGTTTCATAAATATTTACAGTTTTCCAAGTGGTATAACTCATGTCAGTCCAACTTACTGATGCATTTCATCTATTTTTAACCTGCAGCCCCTTCAGCTGCAGACAAACCCACAGATAACGCTCCTGTAAGTGCGGCCRTTTAGATTGTTTCTGTGATAATGTTGCATCATGAGGCTCGGCGGTGTGTGTCAGACCTAACAAGGATTCTTGTGATTCCCTGCAGGAGCTGAAGCGCCTGGAGCATCCAGAGCACCCGGTGCTCAGCTTTGTGGGTGAGTGACGTGTTTAAGGAGTTAGAGCTTGTTGCCTCTCAGCCAGAAGGGTTTTCTCAGGTTGCTTTGGTTTTCTTCCAGCCTAATATGAATGTTAGGCTGATTGGTAACTCTAACACTGTCCATAGATGAAAGTGTGAACAGTTGTTGGATTTATTTGTCCTTATTTGGCCCTGTGATGGACCTTAGACCTGTCCAGATTGAAATCTGACCTCTCGCAAGTCACCGCTTGACCCAGAAAGGCAAAGTGGATGAAAAAATTGATGGATGGATATAAAGATGGGTGGATCATGAATTGATGAATGGATCATGGATAGATTGATCGTGGATTGATGGATGGATAAATCATTGATGGTTGGATAAATCATTGATGGTTGGATAAATCATTGATGGATGGATTATGAATGGATTGGTAGATGGATCATTGATTGATGGATGATGGATGGATTGATTGATTGATTGACTGATTGATTGATGGATGGATGGATCATGGATGCATGAATCATGGTTTGATGGATGGATCTTAGATGGATGATTGGATGGATGATGGATGGATGGATGGATGGATCTTGGATGGATGGATGGATGGATGGATGGATGGATGGATGGGTGGATGGATGGATGGATCTTGGATGGATGAATGCATTGATCTGTTTTGTTTCAAGTAATTGGCCATGTTGGAAATTGGTTCTCCACAACATTAAAAAAATCTTACGATGGTGATAATATTTGTAAATATTACGATGACGACTTTTTTTAATTTTTCTTTCCTCACTTTCTAATCTGTACTTCCTACTCTATGTGACCTTTAGCATTTTGGACAATGTCATTTGTGTCTGATGCTTTGCTACTTTGAGACTGTCCTACTGGCTAAATGTTGCATTAACATGAAAAATAGAACTTCAAACCTCCTCAGATACATTAGTCAACAATTATTGCACTCCAAACAGTCCTTTGCAATATGAATATTACGCACACTGATATTGCGATTATGATACATTCATTGTCGATATATTGTGCAGCCCTGCCGAAAAACAAGTTTTAGATTTTTAACTCAATATCTGTAAAATTGACAAAGTTGTTGCTGTGTTGAAGTTTGATTTGTTGTGGCAGATACAGCTTTTTGGATCAGATAGATCCCAAAAGATTGTAGATGTAAATTTTAACGATTACATAAAAGTTTCATCATAATTCATCCCTGGTGAACGAGAGGTTTTTCTTTTATAAATAGACGTTTAGGAGGAAATGCCAGTTGGTTGGTTGAGCTTGATATAAATACAAAAAAAGAACCATTTTGTTTGAATAATAATTTTCATAATTTGGATGTTTTTTTCCTGAATTTCTCATCTTTTCTCTGTTTATATTTGTTAATCAGGGTTAGAGGAGGTGGTGATAGTGATCCAGAGTCAGAGGAACTCCTTTCACGCCCGACGAGGTCACCGAAGGAAGATGGAGATCCTGCAGCAGGCAGCTGAACTTGGACAGGTAATATTTATTAAATTCCTTGGAAGTAATTTTCCTCTGGTATGTTTATGTGGCTGTAATAATTAGTTTGGATATTTATGACCAGCTTGTTAAGCTTATTTCGAAATTTACCACATAGTTTTTTAGGATTTGGAGTTGTAAAACAATGCAATGTGTTAACATAATGATGCTGCACAACAAACTTCAGTAGAATAAAGAAATAACAACATATGAAGGCCCCTATTTGACAGTAGTCTGAGATCTTTTTAAAACTCTAGAAACAAGACCTGTAGATAAATTGTTACATCCCTGTGGTGTTATGTTGTTGYCAATAGGTGTCGTACTTTCCTCAGGTCATCAGTGTTTGTCGATATGTGTCTGCTGGGTGGTTTCTTCTACTAATCAATCTGAAGAAGTGTGTAACGGAAAACTTGCATGAGGCAACCCGAGGAGGCTTCGTGGAGTTATTTTAACCTGAGCATGCTATAAATCAAGCATTTTTTTTTCCCACAATGAAAAAAGATGTGTAAGATTTTTTTATTACCCATGACAAATGTTGGGTTTWGTGYATTTTTTWWTTTTWWTTTTTTTGTCCTGTCACATAAGTCGTGATTCATTTTCTGARCAGTTTCTGTTGGAACCTCAAAACTAATTTTCTACTTTCTGAAAGCTTCTCTACGTAACTGGAGAAACACGACATGTTTCATTTTCACGTTCTCATGCATCACAACGTAGGTTTGTGTGAATCTTTGGATTTCTTTTATTACGGCACATTCCTGTGATTTTTGTTTGTTACTTCATGAATTTCAGGTTTATTGTGATGAGAAGTGTCACTTTTTCAAGATTATTGTAGAAGGTTAATAATCTTAAAAAAGCACAATGAAAAAAAATCAAAAATCATGTTTTCATTGACTGMCATACGAACAGGCATTTATTTGTGGTTTAAGTCACCAGTGAAGGCAGCAAACACCGTTTTCTCACCTATCTAATGATTTTTAATGGGTTAGGTCATGTCGTTATTTAAAGGTAAACAACAGAATCTGAGCAGCAAGCTTTTTTTATTTTAATGTCAAAACTTGGTCACCAAGATTCCTGTCGCACAACCCAATAAAGACCAGATGCATAAAAYCTTAGAAATGAATTATATTTTTCTTATTAATGTACATTATTTAGATAAAAACACAGCATTTCTTGACAGAATGCAGACTGCACACCTTAAACTGAGATCTTCTGTTGAGAAATGACATATTTACACGTCTTGTGGTCAAACTTTGAAAATAATGTGGTGTGTGTCATGCCATGTCACAGAGAGGAGGTGTTGAGGATGACTCTCAGCTACTACCACGTCAAAATTGAACTCAGTGTCTGTAAATTTGGCTGAATTATGGTCATATATGTGTTTGCTAATTCAGATTAGCTGTGTCAGCCAACTTGTAATGGATTGCCACCAAAAGTTAATCAGTTCTACTTGGATGTCTAATGATTAAATTCTGAAGGTTTTATTAAAATCTGTCCATTAGTTTGTGAGATATTTTGCTAACAGACAAACATGTTTGACTCCAACAGCTAATGCTAATAATATCAAATATGTCTCACACATTGAGAGCCTCTTGTAGTTGAAGAATTCTCCGCTACCCCTTTACTTTTTATAAAATAATGTTAATAAAACGCTGGTTGGGCCTGATAAAGTGATAAAAAATAAAGTGAACTTAGAAGTATTTTAAAACAAATCCTTTTATGTTCCAGATTTGACAGTTTTATGAGAACTTTTCTGTCCTCTTGGCATCCCTCAGTAAATTGGACGCATCAAGCTTTCTCATGAAAAGCATTTAAAAGGCAGGATTATCATTTTCATTCAATCCAAAACCATTAATTTATGATCTCGACTCTTGAGGCAGCGGAGGATTTGATCAAACGAGGGACATTTCTCTGACTCAACAGAAAAGACACACTGATTTATGCTTTAAATTTCTTTTGAGCAATACTTAGGTTATTTTGTTTGATCCTTTCAGTTTTACTATTATAATAAAAAGGACACTCACTTGGAGAGGGAAATCAAAAACAAAATAATTATATATATA